ACTGTTGTCACATGTACCACACAGCCAGTACTTGCCAGATATTCCTGCAGCTCCTTTTAATGTTGCTGTAGGCCTCTTGGCAACCTCCCAGACCAGTTTTCTTCTCGTCTTTTCATCAATTTTGGAAGGATGTCCAGTTCTTGGTAATGTCACTGTTACGCCATATTTTTTCCACTTGATGACTGTCTTCACTGTGTTCCATGGTATATCTAATGCCTTGGAAATTCTTTTGTACCCTTTGCCTGATAACTTTTAACAATGAGATCCCTCTTGATGCTTTGGAAGCTCTTTGTAGACCATGGCTTTTGCTGTAGGATGCAACTAAGAAAATGTCAGGAAAGAACTACTAGAACAGCTGAACTTTATGTGGGGTTAATCAGAGGCACTTTAAATGATTTCATGTGTGTATTGACTCATGTAACATGATTTTTAATGTGATTGACTATTTCTGAACCCAACTACATCCCCAGTTATGAGGGTGTGCACACTTATGCAACCACATTATTTTAGTTTTTTGTTTACTTCCCCCTCTAAAAGATTTCAGTTTGTTTTTCAATTGAGTTGTATAGTTTTATAGGTCACACAAAGGTGGAAAATGTTCTTAAATGATTTATCCTTGTCTCGTTTTTTTTACATCACAGAAGCCTGACATTTTAACAGGGGTGTGTAGACTTTTTATATCCACTGTATTTCCATTATCTAAAACAAAAAGCCTGAAGCTTGAATACACCTGAAAAATGTCTGTAATACTCTTCTAAAAACACCTGTCCCATGTCAACTTTAAGCCCAAGAACCGAGTGATCACATGACTGCAGATCGTTCAGTTTACCGTCAGCTTGGAGTGGAGAGCAGTGTCTTCAAGTCACTTCTGTCTGCTATGCTTCTCCAACTCCGGGATGGAGATGGGACAGGTGCAGCTGGCTTCAGCTCTCAGCCATGTGCTGAGAAGCAGAGCAAGCTGCCAATCAGGTGTCTGGGTGAATCTTAACAATATGGTTGGGATCCTTCCTGGAGTGGCTCTGCAATAGCAGCTGACAGCGGGCTGTAGCCCACTCTCGAGCTGACTCTGGGTCACAAGAGAGCAGAAGCAGGTGCACTTCTGTGACCCACAAGAAAAGTATGGCCAAAAAGCTTTGGCCAAACTTCTCTTTTAAAATATATCTAAAGCCAAAATATTTTATGTTTTAGGATAGTGTAGAGAATGTTTACAAATCCATAGGGTTTTTCACTATTTGTGTCCCATTCTAGAGATTTCTATTCACTTCCTGCCCTGTAGACCAGCCTTTTTCAACTGGTGTTCTTCAGGGTTTTGTTGCACAACACCACAGGTTTGTATTGTGCAGCATTACAATCATGGGCACCGTGCAGATTACCTGCTAGCATTATAACAAACAATTACATCATAGGTTAATAAGGAGCACACTAAATGCCTGCACAGCGTGTTCCTGTGTGATTCATGGTGTGATCTGGCCCTGAAGAAAAAGCTGTTTGTTGTGTGCAGAGTGAATCTGAATGAAAGGGACTTTTTCATTATCAATCATCTGATGCACTTGCAGTGTGGAGAGGAAAAGTTACAGAGCCTGCATCCCTTAAGAAGTGTTTAAAACCCTTTTGGAGGTATCTCATCAAAAATGACATTTTTGTTTCAGAGGATGCCTATATTTTTACAGACTTTTGCAAAATAAATGAGTCAATCAGACAAACACAAAGTGACATTTCAGGGAGTGTTCAGTACAACAACTGTGTACAGAATGCCTCAAGGTTGTCATATTGCATTGAATTTTATAAAAGAAATATCAGTGCTGCAGACTGAGAAGGGAAGGGAATTTTTAATAACATTCACTTACAGTGTGGCTTGTATAGCAATTATATGCAGCATGTTATATAGTTATAGTGGGGACTGGGAGATGACATTTGGATGGGTTCGGACGTGTCTGGTTTTTCTTTTTTTTTTTTTTTTCGTTCAGCAGGTTGGCGGCCATTGGATGTCGTAATACTGTGTGCCCCTTACTTACTCACATGGGGGGAGGGGAATTGAAATTTGGGGGTCCTCCTATTTTTAAGATGCTCACAACCACTGGGCCCGGGTTGTGGGGAAGAGACCCTTGTCCTGATCAACATGGAACTCCCTAGCAAGTTAACCCCCCCTCCTTTATGTTGAGGGCATGTGGCCTAATATGGTTCAGGGAGTGGAGGGAAAGAGCACAAGCTCGTCTTCCCCGCTTTCCTGGCTGCTGGTGCTGGCTCTCTAACAACCAGGAGAAAGCTGTTCCATTTAGTATGGTAATAATACCCCTGCTGCATATTCCGCTTCATTCTGTATTTGGAAGTTCGCTCACACAAGATTCTGCTGGTCGAATGTTCTTAGCCTATTAGCGCTCATTTTAGCGCTTAGCCTATTAGCGCCTAATTTTCTCATAAGATCAAATGTTAGGGGTTGATACATTTGACCAGCAAAAAGAAACTATTATACATACATGTACATTACACACTGTATTACAAACATTACAGGAATGATACGTTACGCTTGCATGAATGAAGATAGATTAGCTGAGCAAATTTTTTATAAATCAGCCCCTTATACACTTTATCTAAAATGAAAAAGGAAAACATTTAATTTTAAGGTATACTTTGAATAGTAACTTCAGTTTTGTTGAGAACAAAGCTGTTACCTCTGGGTGATGTACATTGGAAGGATTTCAACAACCTTTGTTGCAGGTGCCTACCTATTTCTGCCTGCATCCCTTTAAAAGTAATTAATCCTTAGGGAGTATTTCACCAAAAATGACATTTTTGTTGCCGAGGATGCCTAAAATCTGTATTGTATCTTAATGTATAAAATGAGTGAGCCAATCACACTAGCTGTAAATTACATGTTTGGATGTGTTCCGTAAAGCAACTGTGTACAGAACACCTCCAGGTTGCCATATTGCATTAAATTTAACAGATAATGACAGTGCTGCAGATGGAAAAGGAAAGGTAATTTTTATTAACATTAAATTACAATATGGCTTGTGTAGCAGTTATATATGCTATTTTTTTTTTTTTTTTTTTTTTTTACATTTTTTCACCATGAATGTGTAGTTATCCTTTATGCTAATGCTATTGTTGATGGGATATGTCTGGAAGAATATAGAGGTTTATTTATACTCCTTCTCTAAAATTATTACATTTACATACAATCAGTTTAAATGTTATATTATGATATTTTAGTGTAGTGTTGCTTTACAGTAGTTTTAGTAAGGTCTTGTTTACAGGGGGCGATTACATCAGTGCCCTGTGCAGAGCTGAGTTTCGCCATCATGGGGATACATAAGTTTTGCATGCATCCCCGTGCTCTCTGTCTCATTCATGTCTATTGGGAAACAGCAGCTTCACGGACACAGTCGCTATGTTCAATAGGACATCCGTGTGGGTGCAGGTGTGTGCGGGTGCTGTCCCTGAACTCAGCCTGGGTGCATTTGGAGCCGTGCACCCACATACATATTGGGAGCAGCAGCTGTGTCTGTGCAGCCGCTTTGTAGCAAAAGACTTGAAAGGAACTGCCAGCATGGGGATGCATGCAACACCTGTGCATCCCTGTGCAAGTAAAACACAGCCCTACACAGGGCTTGAATGTAATCGCACCATGTGAACAAGGCCTAAAATTAGTTTACTTATTCTCATCAGGCTGCAGAATTCTTTTTGTGTGAAGTTTCCGAGTTGTAAACATTGTATTTTAACTCTATGTATTTGCTTATTACAGTATCTGTATGCTCGTACTGATTTGGCTGTTTAGAAAATACAACTCCCTGGCGCAGGTAAGAGGGTAAAGAAATCTTGTCTTTAGCTTTTAATAGTTATCAACTAAGTTTGCATGTTCTCCCCGTGCTTGCGTGAGTTTCCTCCGGTTGCTCCGGTTTCCTCCCACACCCCAAAAACATGCTGGTAGGTGAATTGGATGCTGTCTAAATTGGCCCTAATATGTGTATGTATGAATGTAAGTTAGGGACCTTAGATTGTACGCCCCTAGAGGGTTAGGGACTGATGTGAATGTTCAATATATATGTGTAAAGTGCTGCTTAAATTGACAACGCTATATAAGCACCTGAAATAAATAAATAAAATAAGTGGCTAAGTATAATGTGAGTTCCACACTTTTTAAAGTAGAACTCTATTCCAAAATCAATATTCGCATTTCAAATATGTGCCCCATATTAACATCCTACATTAGTCTTACTATTTTTACTGTAAGCATCCTCCATATTTCATATTCAATAGTCTGAAATCATAGTAATGGTACTAACCTAGCAGTGGCACTTGCAGTGTTGATGGTTGTGTTTTTTTAATCTTTAATTAGTAATTAGACTGGCCAGCATATAAATATAATTTGTGTAACTAAGCAATTTAGACTAACCAAGTACAAATGCTCTCCGGTGCTCAACCTCCTTGGCAAAAGACAGCTATGTCCAAGATTTCAAAAGACACATACGTATATTTTTTTACAATTATTTTAACAATTTCAGATATTTAAGGACAGTCTTCTCCTCTGTATCTTTTTCACATATTGTGTCTTGAATAGTGCTTGACCTCCATCTTAAATAAAAATGCACACTCATCAGACACAGTTGCTGTTTAAATAAATAGAACGTCAAATAACGCTTTGTTAGAAAGTAAAGCTCTCCTCCAAGAAAAGGTGTTCCAAATGAATCAGTCTCTCTCCACCACTCTCCTAGCCCGTTGAGACCACAAAAGACCATCAACAATGAAACAAGGTCCTACAGCGTAGTTACTTTATATCCAAAACCAATAGCTTTGTGAACATTTATTAAAATATACAACCAAAAGGTATTCACTTACATGTTTATCCGCCAGTCTCACAGGAGAATGGCGGTGGGACCTCTGGTGTATCAATACAATCTCTACAGCTGTTTCGCATGAACACACATCATCAGGCGCAATCATAAGGTTAAACAACCTCAACTTAAATAGTCCATCTGTAATTAAGAAAACATGGTGCGTTCCACATCTCTGGAAATGATGTCATTAAGATGGCGCCAATACAGCAACTGACACCAGAATGTGGTAGGCCACAGAGTGGGGTCAGCGTATGCTGAAGCGCACAGTGCACAGAAGTCACCGACTGTCTACAGAGTCAATAGTTAAAGACCTCCAAACTTCGTGTGGCCTTCAGATTAGCACAACAGTGCGTAGAGAGCATCATGGAATGGGCTTCCATGGCTGAGCAGCTGCATCCAAGCCTTACATCGAATGCAATGAAAATGCAAAGCATCAGATGCAGTGGTGTAAAGCACTTGGAGCAGTGGAGACGTGTTCTCTTGAGTGATGAATCACTCTTCTCTGTCTGGCGATCCAGTGGACGTCTGTGGGTTTGGCGGTTGCCAGGAGAACGGCACTTGCTTGACTGCATTGTGCCAAGTGTAAAGTTTGGTGAGGGGGTATTATGGTATGGAGTTGTTTTTCAGGGGTTGAGCTTGGCCTTTTAAATCCAGTGAAGGGAACTCTTAAGGCATCAGCATACCAAGACATTTTGGACAATTGCATGCTCCCAACTTTGTGGGAACAGTTTGAGAATGGTCCCTTCCTGTTCCAACATGATTGCACACCAGTGCACACATTGAGGTCCATAAAGACATGGACGAGCAAGTTTGGGGAGGAGGAATTTGACTGGCCTGCACAGAGTTCTGATCTCAACCTGATAGAACACCTTTGGGATGAAACTGCGAGCCAGGCCTTTTTGTCTGTTATCAGTGCCTGACCTAACAAATGCACTTCTGGAAGAATGGTGAAACATTCCCATAGACACACTCCTAAACATTGTGGACAGCCTTCCCAGAAGAGTTGAAGCTGTTATAGCTGCAAAGGGTGAGCCAACTCAATATTGAACACTACAGACTAAGACTGGGATGTCATTAACCCCTTCACGTCTAAGGGTAAAACAAATGTTAATGCCTAAGCACAATTTTGCAATGTTGACATGTGTTAGTAAAACCGTACATATCATCACAACTACTTTGTACAGCCAGGCGAATTATACCTTATTTTTTCAGCACAAATTGGGCTTTCATTTGGTGGTAAATAGTAATGGATATCTCCCGATTTTTTTTTTTTTTTTTTTTTTTTTTTATTATCAAAGAAAAACTGGCCCAAAATAGTAAAAAAAATAAATATATTTTTAAATTTAGCTGTGTATTTCTTGTTACTACCATAACCTACCACCACCAAGAACAACTCAAAATAAATTTTCCAGCTCTTGACGATCGCAGCGATACCATATATATGTATGTTATTTGTTGTTTGTACCCGTAGTACAGCCCAGAATCAATAGTGCGCAGTTTGTTTTTTTGGCTTTTTTTTTTTACCTAAAACACACTGACACTGAGACCGTTTACCTTGACCTTTGACCCTTGACCCTGACCTTGACTCAAACACTAGCACTGGCACTGAACTAGATCAAACCTTGATCTAGGTATTTTTTTATTTTATTTTTTAATACTGTATTTATCTCTTTTTTTTTTTTTTGACAAAGTTTTCTTTTCTCTATGCAAGGAGTTAGAGAGATACAATGTATCTCTCTCCTCCGGTCATAGAGAGAGAAAAAAACAAGGGGGGTGGGCTATACAGTGACTGATCACTGTGATAGCCAATCAGAGGCTATCACAGCGATCATGTGACCCGGAATCGGGAGTCCCGGGTCCCGATCATTAGAACGGGACCCGGGGCTCTCAGTGACACCCCGATCTTTGTGCTGGGAGCGTGCTGTGCGGCGCACTCCCAGCACAAAGACAGGTATACAAATATTCGGCCCCCACGGAAATAAGCCCAGTTCTGTGAGGCTGCATATTTGTGTGATGTCGGCTAAGGGGTTAAAGTTCATGTGCGTGTAAAGGCAGGTATCCCAATACTTTTGGCAATATAGTGTATCTCAGTGTACATACGTCTAAGAATATACGTAAAGACACTTCTGAGCATCAAGGCACAGCTGCGCAGAATTTTGTTCCCTAATGTAATGTACAGGAGCAATCACATTGAGATACATAGCAATAAGCATACTGAGATAAAGCTTAGCTTGCATTTTGTTGCAACTATAAAGAGGATACTGGGTTATCCTCCAGTTAAGCTATATTTATTAGTGACCACACAAATACTTATATTTCGAATGACCACTTGACAAAGAAGTTTTAAAGGCAAACAAATGTGGGTCTCGAGACACTTAAGCACAATGTTTGTTGAAAAGTACCAAGATTCTGTGTTTCTAGTTACACTGTTTACAAATGGTTGTGTTTGCAGATCTGAATATTTCAGAGGATAGAAGTTTGTATTACTTTATTGTCCATTGCCACCTTCAGGAGGTTTGGACCCTGGCAACCTGAAAAATTGTAAGCCAGTATCTGTATAACCCCTCCTCTATCCACCCTACCTTTGCTAGTGTCCTAGAAGTTTGGATGCTGTTTCCTCAGGCTGCTGAGTAAAGTCTTAACAGTGTGGGGGTCTCCCCCAATCCATACCAAACCATTTGGGTCTTGTATGAATTTTGAGAGGAACCCCATGCCAAAATTAAAAGAAAAAATAGTGTGGGGTTCCCCTCCAAAATCCATACCTGACCCAAATGGCCTGGTATGGATTTTAAGGGGAACCCCATGCCAAAATGAAAAAAAAAAAAATGGCGTGAGGCTCCCCTCAAAATCCATACCAGACTCTTATCTGAGCATGCAGCCTGGCAGGCCAGGAAAGGGAGGGGGGACGAGCGAGCTATAGCAGGCCACATTCCCTGAATATGAAGGGGGTGCTTTTGGGGGAGTCCCTCAAAGCACCTTGTCCCCATGTTGATGGGAACAATAGCCTTTTCCCTGCAACCCTAGGTGGCGGTTGTGGGGGTCTTGCGGGAGGGGGCTTATTGGAATCTGGAAGCTCCCCTTTAACAAGGGGCCCCCCAGATCCCCTCCTATGCGCATGATGAATGCCAACCCGCACAAAGAAAATCCCGCTGCTCGTCGAACAAGTCCCTCCTGTGTCCCGTCACATGCTGAATGACAAGAAAACAGGGGTGGGGGTCATCCAGTGATGTAAAGAAAATAAAATACCTCCACTCACTGAACACATCCACTCCCATGTCCCCTCACACGGTGAATGACAGGTCAACATGGAGGCAGGGTCCCTCTACGCTGAATGTAGGGAAAGAAAGTGTGGAATATATGCATGTCATTCCACCCAGTAGATTACATCAGCTTAAAGCGGTATGAAACCAAAAATATATTACATTGCAGCTTACCAAGCATTGGATGTGGTGGCTGTATTAGTTTCCATTCTTTATTATTATTACAGGATTTACAGTGAAGGAAATAAGTATTTGATCCCCTGCTGATTTTGAATGTTTGCCACTCACAAAGAAATGATCAGTCTAAAAATCGAATGCTAGGTGTATTGGTAACACTGAGAGACAGAATAGCAACAAAAATTCTAACAAATTATGCATTGATTTGCATGTTCATGAGGGAAATAAGTATTTGATCCCCCATCATTCAGCAGGATTTCTGGCTACCAGGTATCTTTCATACAGGTAACAAGCTGAGATTAGAAGCAGTCTCTTAAAGGGAGTGCTGCTAATCTCATTTTGTTACCTGTAATAAAAGACACCTGTCCACATGAGCAATCAAACAATCAGATTCCAAACTCTCCACCATGGCAAAGACCAAAGAGCTGTCCAGGGATGTCAGGGACAAGATTGTAGACCTACACAAGGCTGGACTGGGCTACCAAACTATCGCCAAGCAGCTTGGTCATAAGGTGACAACAGTTGGTGCAATCATTCGCAAATGGAAGAAACACAAAACAACGGTTAGTCTCCCTAGGTCCGGTGCACCATGCAAGATCTCGCCTCCTTGGAGTGTCAATGATCATGAGAACAGTGAGGAATCATCCCAGAACTACACGTGAGGATCTTGTCAATGATCTCCAGGCAGCTGGGACCACAGTCACTGTCAGGCTCCTGTCCACAGCAGAAGTTCTGGAAGATCTGGCATTTCTATCAGTACTCTGCATGGCCGCAGAAGGATACATCAGCCTCAGTTTGGTGCCAGACGGCCTTTATAAGGAGGCTCATCACTTCCTCAAGTTGCTGGATGATCTCTAGCTCCCCGTGCCCTGTTTCCTGTGACTTTGACCTGTGATTTCCTGTTACCGACTCGGCTTGCTCCTGGACCTGTCTATTCTGCCTTACCCCTGATCTGACCTCAGCCTGGCTTACGGATACTCTCTCTCTCTCTCTGCTCCCCTGTGTATGACCTCGGCTATCCCATCTGTCTACGTCTGCTCTGATTCCCATCTGGTACCTGACCTTGGCTTGAACCGACTACCCAGTAAACACCTAAATCCCAGAAGGGCTTGCATACCACGCACAGGTGCCACCTGTCTGCAGACCTATGTCCATTCACCAGCTGTGCTTCTCAGTGGACCACCAACCAGCACTCCTACAGGCGACCTGTGCAACTTTGGGCCTGACTCCCACTGTCCCACTCTCAAGGGAGTCCAGAACTTAGCCGCAAGGGAAGCCCTCTCTCCATTGGCCTCCATCACCAGGTACATGATAGCCACCAAGAAAACAATTGGTAACACACTACGCCGACACAGATTGAAATCCTGAAGTGCCCGCAAGGTCCCTCTGCTCAAGAAAGCACTTGTCCAGGCCCGTCTGAAGTTTGTCACTGAACATCTGAATGATGCAGAGGAGGACTGCTTGAAAGTGTTGTGGTCAGATGAGACCAAAGTCGAGCTCTTTGGCATCAACTCAACTCGCCATTGTTTGGAGGAGGAGGAATGCTGCCTATGACCCCAAGAACACCATCCCAACTGTCAAATATGGTGGTGGAAACATTCAGCTTTGGGGGTATTTTTCTGCTAAGGGGACAAGACAACTGCACCACATCAAAAGGATGATGGATGGGGCAATGTACCGTCAAATCTTGGGTGAGAACCTTCTTCCCTCAGCCAGGGCATTGAAAATGGGTCGTGGATGGGTGTTCCAGCATGACAATGACCCAAAACACACAGCCAAGGCAACAAAGGAGTAGCTCAAGAAGAAACACATTATGGTCCTGAAGTGGCCTAGCCACTCTCCAGACCTTAATCCGATTGAAAATCTGTGGAGGGAGCTGAAAGTTTGAGTTGCCACATGTCAGCCACCAAACCTTAATGGCTTGGAGAGGATCTGCCAAGAGGAGTGGCCAAAATCCCTCCTGAGATGTGTGCAA